GCTGTTTTTGAGTTCTTTTCGTCTCACCCGAAGGAGCTGCAGCTGCTGCTGCAGCGCGCAGCAGCAGCAGCGGCAGCAGCAGCAGCAGCACGAGCAGCAAAAGAGCTGCAGCGATCGAAGCAACGCGCTCTCCAGGCGTCGCTGTTGCCAGGTATTTAATTCTTTTTATTATTTATTTATTTATTTATTTATTTATTTATTTATTTATTTATTTATTTATTTATTCATTTATTTATTTATTTATTATTTATTATTTATTTATTTATTTATTTATTTATTTATTATTATTATTATTTATTTATTTATTTATTCATTTATTTATTCATTTATTTATTTATTTATTATTTATTTTATTTATTTATTTATTTTATTTTTATTTCAGGCAAACTCGTCGACAGCCAAAGAGGCGAAGAGCTTTTTATCGTCGAAGGCGAATCGGCTGCGGGCAGCGCCAAACAAGTCCATTTTCTTTTTATTTTTTTTTTTTTAATCTTTTTTTAATCGCTTTTCAATCATTTTTTGATCTTTTTAGATCCTTTTTAATTCTTTTTGTTTCTTCTTTTGTTTGTCTCTTTATTTATTTGCATTTTATTAGCCTCTTTTTTGCCTTTTTTCGGTTTTTTTTTGAATTTTTTCGGACCTTTTTTTGCCTTTTTTTGATTCTCTAAGTGCATTGTTTGTTTCTTTTTGTGTTTTGTTTGTTTTTGTTTTTTCTTTTTTTCTTTTTAATTTCTTTTAATTTCTTTTATTTTCCTTTTTTATTTTTTGTTTATTTAAATTTCTTTTTATTTGATTCTTTATTTGTATTGTTCCATTTCAAGTTTATTACAATTAATTAGCATTTATTTATTATTTACTATTTATTTATTTATATATATATTTATATACTTATTTATTTATTTATTTATTATTTATTTATTTATTTATTTATTTATTATTTATTTATTTATTTATTATTTGTTTAGGCTAGAGACCGGCATCTGCAGGCAATTCTTTCTCTCCGAGGGAAAATTTTAAATGCTCAAAAAGAAAAAAATAAATTCAAAATATTCAACAACCAAGAAATCAAAGTGAGGCAACCAGCAGCAGCAGCAGCAGCAGTAGTTGTTGCTGCTGTAGCAGCAGCTATTGCTGCAGCAGCTGCTGCAGTTGTTGCCGTAGCCGCAGCAGTTGCTACTGTAGCAGCAGCTACAGCAGTTGTTGCTGTAGCAGCAGCTGCAGCAGTTGTTGCTGTAGCAGCAGCGGTAGCAGCAGCAGCAGCAGGTGTTATAGGAGCAGCAGCAGCAGTTGCGGGAGTCGTTGCTGAACTAGAAACATTAGCAGCAGCTGTTGCAGCAAGTGCAGTTGTTACAGCAGCAGCAGCAGCAGCAGCAGCAGCGCCAGCAGCACCAGCAGCACTAGCCATAGCAGCAGCAGCAACAGCGAGATCGTAAGTCTTGAAGCAGCTGCAGTTGCTGCTGCTGTTGCTGCTGCTGCAGTCTTTGGTATCGGCACTGGGAGTTCCTCCACAAGAAGGCCGCAAGGAGCCCCACAACCCTTCAGGCCTCAGGTAAACCCTAAACCCTAAACCCTAATTTAGGGTTTTGCGCGGACAGTGTGGCGGAGCTTCGAACGAAACAAGCCGCACGACTTCAACGAAGCAAACAACGCAAGCAAAACAAACAAACCAAATGAAGTGAATTAAATTAAATCAATTCAATTAATTTAATTAATTTAACTAATGTAATTGATTAAATAAATCAAAATGGTTTCAGGTACAAAAGAATTATCCTCTTGACCGACGCAGACGTCGACGGCGCCCACATCCGCAGTTTATTGCTGTCTTTTTTTTTTCGATTTTATTTTTTTCTTTTTAATTCCAAAAGACTTTTTGTTGCACTTCCTCCTCTTTACAAGGCGCGCCATCCCCCGCTGCCGCTGCTGCTGCTGCAGCAGCAGCTGCAGCAGCAGCAGCAGCAGCAGCAGCAGCAAAGCCGAAGCGCCAGCAGCAGCAGCAGCAGCAGCAGCAGGTTAGTGACAGAGACGTATATATGGAGCGACGCAGAGGCGAAGGCTCTTGCTGCTTTGGTGCAGCAGCAGCACCTCAGCAAGAAAGGAAAGCAGCAGCAGCAGCAGCAGCAGCAGCAGCAAGAGCTGGCGGCAGCGGCGGCGGGGGAGCCTGCAGCAGCAGCAGCAGCAGCAGCAAGCAGGGGGCTGCTGCTGCTGCAGCGCTTCAAAGGCCTCGGGGAAATGCAGCCGCAGCAACTTTGGGAAACAGCCATGAATCCAAAAACAAGAAAAATCAAACTAGTCCGAGTCAACGACCTCCAACGGGTAGGCTCAGCTAGCTAGCTAGCTAGCTAGCTAGCTGGGTAGCTAGCTGGCTGGCTAGCTGGCTAGCTGGCTGGCTAGCTGGCTAGCTGGCTGGCTAGCTGGCTAGCTAGCTAGCCGGCTAGCTAGGTGGCTAGGTAGCTGGCTGGATAGCTGGCTGGCTAGGTGGCTAGCTGGCTGGCTAGCTAGCCGGCTAGCTGGCTGGCTAGCTGGCTGGCTAGCTGGCTGGCTAGCTAGCCAGC